AATTTAAAGTCTGAAGCACAAAAAAAACAAACAATATACTGTGTAGGCAAACACCGGAGGTTCACACGAAACAGGCCTGCAGCCCCTGGTCCCCTTGGTGACTTCTGATCCACACTACAGAGGCCAGCCCGTCCCTGCCTAGAGTCTGAGAGCTGGTCACCTGGCCACTGCGTGAACACGTCCAGTGTAAGTACAACGCAGAATGGCTCTGTGCAAAAGACACAGAAAATCTGAGCTATAGCCTGACACGCCTCTTCTGGTGGTTCACTTTGTGGCTGGAAAAATTCTTTGAGGCTGAAAACACACCGTCCTTTAACTCAAGAGTTCTCGAAAATCAGGAAATTCCAAAGTCAAGGATCCTTTTGCAGTAATCACACACACCGTTTCCTTGATCTGGGCACATGAGCCCCACAGCCTTTCCTTCCATTTTGTTCAGGGAAGACCCTGAAGTTCACAGGATGTGAAACAGACTAGAGGGGGGCCTTTGCGGGCGGCTGCTTTCTTACTATACAGACTTAGCATTTCCCCACCACTGGAGAGCTGTCATTTCTCATGCTCTGTTCAACACTTGGCTTTTTTGGTTCATTCTGAAATTCTGTACAAAATATGACCACACGAAAGCTAACTTGTACGAACGAAAAAATACCATCAATAATTTAGACTATCACCGTGAAGGTTAACGATATAGAAATTTGGTGCTGGGGAAGAGTCTCAAGAATGTTCTAGGATACCAATGTTTCTTCTTTTGGAGTTGGGTTTTCAGATGCCAGCCTGCCCCCCTTGTGTCATCTATTCTAGAAGGACAGGGGCAGGGTGAGAAGGATGTGGCCCAGGATTGTGTCCCTGCTCCACAGCTCCTGTTCCACTTACAAATCATTACGCCTCTTAAGGGATATTTTACCTTTATTCATGAATGGTTCCTGGTACACATTGGTGTTAGCTGCTGCTAAGCAGACTCTGACTCAGAGAGACCTTATGTACAACAGAATGAAATACTGCCCAGTCCTGCATCATCCTCATGATCACGGGCATGTTTGAGTCCATTATCATGGCTATTGTGCCAATCTATGTCACCGAGGGTCTCCCATGCTCTCACTGGCCCTCTACTTCACCAAACATGATGTCCTCCTCCAGCAACTGCTCCCTCCTGATGGTGTATCCAAAGCAAGAGAGTTGGACAATGTTCTGTTATAATCCATACAGTTTTCATTGGCTAATTTTTGGAAGTAGATCCCCAGGCCTTTCTTCATAGTCTGTCTCAGTCTGGAAACTCTGCTGAAACTTGTTCACCACGGATGACCCAGCTGTTATTTGAAATACCAGGCACAGCTTCTAGCATCACAGCAACATGGAAGTCACCACAGTAAGACAAAGTGACAGGTGGCGGGGTCTGAATATTAGTAATCTGGAATAGATAAAACTATTCATTTGGTCAGTTTTCCAATAGGCAGTTTTGTGTAGAGTTTAGAGGTGAAACCCATGCAATCAGGTCACTCTTTTCCTGGTGTGGTCACAGCCAACTGGCCCATGAAAGCAGAACAACAAAAGGTACATGGTCCACAACAAGACCAAAACACTGTATCTCATCCGTCACAGGTGGAGGGCTCCACAGCCTGGTCTGGAAGTGCCCATCACTTCAGAGTCGTGCTACATCAGTAATTCTCTCAAGCAGCCTCCACGCTCTCTTGGCATCTCCTAGCTGACGAAGCCCCACTCCACGCACTGCTGGGCTCCCAGGACTATGGTGCAGGGCTGTGGCCTTTTCCAGGAGGGGTGCTCTGACGGTCCCATCATAGCTGCCACAACCACCTGCTCAGTCCTCGTACCTGTGGTAGGTCACCAAGTCCTGTAGTGGCAACTTCCTGAGTTCCTCTCCACAGCATCCTCCCTCGCCGCTGCCTGTCATCCTTCTAAAGCGTCCACCTGTTCATCTCCTCCTTACAACCCTGCCCCAGTGCTCTCCTGCATCCAGCAGAGTCACATGCCTTAGCATGGGGGCCTACCCTCACTAACAAGCAGAAAAATGAACAAACCAGGTGACTACAGTCAGAACTGTCAGGAAAGAAAGAAACGAGGAGGCAGCAAATCACTGAGGAGTTCACACAGGTGGTCAGGGCAGGTCGTCCGAGGAGGTCACCTTTATGCTGTGACCTGAGGAGTTCCCACAGGTGGTCAGGGCAGGTCCTCTGAGGAAGTCACCTTTATGCAGGGACCTGAAGAGTTCACACAGGGTGGTCAGGGCAGGTCCTCTGAGGAGGTCACCTTCATGCTGTGACCTAGTGGATAAAAAGCCGGTGGCAATGTGAAAGCTGGAAGAAAAGTGTTCCAGGCAGGACAGACACGCCCCAAGGCTCTGGGGTGGAAGGCGCAGGCTCCGGTCAAGGAACAAAAATGTTCCCCCCACCCCTGACCTCCCGACTGACAGCCAGCTCCCTACTCAGTGTCTCGACTTGGAGGTCTCAAATCACCTCAACCTTAGAGATAAATCAAGTCCCGACACTCCCTTACCCCTATCTGGCAAAAACCCTTCTCCTCACACGTGCTTCCTCTTTTCAGTGGAAGGCAGCTTCGTCTTTTTGATTGCTTAGGCACAAAATCTGGGAGTCATCCTTGACCTCTCTCTCTCAAATCCTAGTGTCTTTAGGAACATTTCAGGTATCCGACCACCTCTGACCACTTCTATTGCTATCACCTGGTCTTAACCATATCGCTCTCACCTGGATCACTGCCCTCTCTGGTCTTTCTGCTTCCTTCCCACCCCTCTACAGCCTACTGTTCACACAGGGACAGAGGGAAGCGTTTTTAACAAAGGAGCATGTGGCTCCTCTACTCAAAACCCTCTACAGGCAGTCCCTGGGTTACGAATGAGATCCCTTCCTAACTGTGTCTTTAAGTTGAATTTGTAGGTAAGTTGGAACAGGTGCACATGGTTCTTATTTAACCTTACTTTAGTGCAAGAAAAGGGTCAAAGCCTGAGTCCAGCACAACTAGATGGTGCCCGGCTACCATCACCAACTGCTCTGAGAGGGATCACAATAGAGAGCCCCAGACAGAGCTGGAGAACAATGTAGAACAAAATTCTAACTCACGAAAAAAAAAAAAAGACCAGATTTATTGGTCTGACAGAGACTGGAGAAACCCTGAGAGTATGGCCCCCAGACACCCTTTTAACTCAGTACTGAAGTCACTCCTGAAGTTCGCCTTTCAGCGAAAGATTAGACAGGCCCATAAAACAAAACAAGACTAAACAGGCACACCAGCCCAGGGGCAAGGACGAGAAGGCAGGAGGGGACAGAAGAGCTGGTAACGGGGAACCCAAGGTCAAAATGGGGAGAGTGTTGACAACCAATGTCACTAAACAGTATGTGTATTAATTGTTTAATGAGAAACTAATTTGCTCTGTAAACCTTCATCTAAAGCACAATTAAGAAAAAAAAGGGTCAAAGCCTCTTCAATGATTTAAAAGCTGCACATACAGCAAATGAAGGTGATTGTAATGAAGAAATTGTTGCGAGTAGGGGTTGGTTCAATTTTTCAAAGTGAGGGCAAATTTACATAACATTAAAGGGCAAGTACGAGCTGTCCCTAAGTCAGACATCTGTAACCCAGAGACTGCCTGTAATTGCTCCTCATCTCACTCTGGGTAAAGCCAATCCCTTCAATGGCCTTTAAGTCCCCTCCATCTTTAAGATCTGCCACCAACTACCCCTCAGCCTCATCTCCTACCCTTCTCCCCCTCATCCCTGTGCTCTGGGTGCACTGGTCCTCCAGCAAGCAAAGCACACTCCCACCTCCGGGCCTTTGCACATGCTGTCCCCCCAGAAATCCCCACAGCTCACTCCCTTCCTGCAGGTCTCAAATATCTTAGTGAGAGGCAGTGCTGTCTTTAAGCAAATGGGTGGCCACATCCTAAACAAGGATGATGTGGAGCTTATCTAAGAGAAACTGAATGAAGGATCAAAGAAAAGGAAAGAAACCCAAACACAGCTACATAAGAAAAGAGGCTTCACCAAAAAAAGTGGTTACTCTTGTGTGGGATAGTGGCTAGAAGGCATACGGGAATGTCATTTCTCAGTCTGGATGCTGACTGTAGTATGGTACGTTCAGTTTGTGAAATTCATCAAGTTGTGTATTTATGATATATACACTTTTCTTCAATAAAATATTTCTTTTAAAAAGGAAGTCTTCAAAAGACCAGACTTAATGGTCTAACTGAGACTGGAGGAAACCCAGAAGACATGGCCCCCGGACTCTCAGTTAATCCAGAAACAAAACCATTCCAGAAGCCAAGGACAAAGATTAGACTGGACTATAAAACATAAAATAATACTCGTGAAGAGTGTGCTTCTTAGTTCAAGTAGATACACGAGACTCAATGGGTAGCTCCTGTCCGGAGGTGAGATGAGAAGGCTGAAAAGAACAGGAGCTGGTTGAATGGTCACGGAAAATCCAGGGTGGAAAGGAGGAGTGTGCCGTCACATTACAGGGAGAGCAACTAGGGTCACATAACAATGTGTGTATAAAGTTTTGTATGAGAAACTAACTTGAGCTGTAAACTTTCACCTAAAGCACAATTAAAAAAAAAAAATGAACATATGGTTGGCCCCTAAAGAGTTTCTAGTGATAGATGCCAGTACGTTAAAAACAATAAACGCAGCAATTTACTGGGTTACAGATTATGATGGGGTACAAAGTGAGAGCGAAAACACATAGACAAGTGTTACAAAGGCAAGAAGATGAAGACAAAACGGGAATGTCAAGAAATGTCTGCTTCTTTCCTTCAGAATTAAACCTTTCAAATTGTTAAAAAAAAAAAAAAAAAAAAGGAGCCTTCACGAACAGGGGATTTACATTTGAATGGAGATATACACCCAACACACACACTCTTTATTCAACATTCGAGGGCAAAAATTTTGAGAGGGAAAAAAAAGCGTTCTTCAAACATTTGATGAAGCCCAAACAATTAATTTACATCTCCTCTCTCTATGCAAAAGACTTACCAACCCACGGTTGCACGGGTCAGGATCATATCAAACAGCAATACCGATAAACCAGCTGTGAGTACCTGCAGAATAATTTCAACAAAGGGTCATCAGAAATGGTGGACACACGGTATTATGCATTGGTCCAAACCCATAAGACCGTACAACACAGAGTGAACCCTAAAGTCTGTGGACTTTAGTAAATAGTACTGCATCAATATTGATTCATCAACTGTAACAAAAGTACCACAGCAAACAATACAAGACGTTATTAATAGAAGAAACTGTGGGCCTGGGGAGAGGGAGTATTTGAAAACTCTGTACTTCCTGCTCAATTTTTCTGTAAGCCTAAAACTGCTCTAAAAAATAAAGTCTATTAATAAAAAAAAAAAAAAGGCACCCTGGTGGCACAGTGGTTAAGAGCTTGGCTGCTAACCAAAAGGTCAGTAGCTCGAATCCACCACCTGCTCCTTGGAAACCCTATGGGGCAGTTCTACTCTGTGCTGTAGGGTCACTATGAGTCGGAACCACTCGGCAGCACCTAACAACAACAACAATTTTAAAAAAGGTCCTCAGAGCAGCAGAACTTTAGTAACTTTCTCTAAAGCTGTTTTTCACAAAGTTAATTCACAGGCGTTCCGACTCCAACCCTGGCCATTTTGCACTGGTTGTGTCCTTCTTTCCCCTGCACACTTAACTCCTAGTCCCTGGTATTTAGGGTTGCCTCTGAGCAAAGCCTTTGGTGCTGAAATGCTAAATCCTAGTCTATTTTGGGGGGTGGGACTCTTCAAAGAAGCATTTAACTTCCAATCTCTTCAAAGGAGGAGGCACACAGCCAACAGTAAACATCTCCCTTATCTCCTTTCAGTGCAGAGATTAAGAATTAGGAATACTCATTTCCATCTTGCCTCAGCTGTGCAGAATTAATCTCCAAGGTCAGCGGTGCTCATTAACCTGTTCCCAGATACTCCAGACAAAAATCTATCTGACAATCGGCCTCTGCCTATACCACTGTCTCACCCACCTCTCCTAATGACCCCGTCTCTCTGGCCCAGTATACACATTCTAAGAGCAGGTGTTTCCCGGGGAAGGGGGCAATTAAGTCATTAATTAAATATTTGTAAATACCTAGAAGCCAAAGAAGAGGGAAGAGGCTTCCCCCACATCTCTCAGAGCTAGAAATCACAGAAACGTCTCTTAGGGGTGGCAATAACAGGACCTAGACTCTGGAGGTGCTTCTACAGAGTGGGTACAAAGAGGGAGTGTGCGTGAACCAATGACCCAGCTGTGCCAACACTCTGAATGTCTCCTTAACAAAAGATGTTTTCTGTTTCCAGAATTCTGTATTCTGCAGGTCAAAACAGCTTCCATGAAGAAAGTAACCCTCAGGACTTGCCTTCTCGGGCTGCAGTGAGAAGGAGGAAAAAAGCCATGCTGGGGTGAGTGTCCCAGGGATCCTCAGAAATGTCAACTACCGAGTCAGAAGGAAGGAGAAGGTTCTATGAGCCCCTTCCCCAAGAAGAAGATGAACGGCTGGAGTACAGCAAAACTTTCCTTTACCATCTCAGAAGGAAGTCTGTCCGGAACTATAAACCACAAACCTTAAGTACATGAATTTTGTGAGATTTTCGAACCTTTGTTTACCCACTGGGGTCATTTTCTGTTTGCCTCCCTTTATTGATTTGCAGTAATAACCTTTACAATAAAAAAGACCTGACTATTGTTTTCAGGGACAACAAAGAAGCAGATATTGAGTCAGACAATTACGGAGCAGAACCCAAAGTTCTTATCCTTTGAGGAAGACATTTCTCAAAGTGGTGGGTTCTTTGCTAAAGAACATGATGAATGACAACTATCCCTCTTTCCTTTTGCAACTCCTTGGACATGTCTTGGGATGGTGCCAAAGGAGACTGTCATGGATTGAATTATGTCCCTCCCCAAATATGTCTATCAGTTTGGCTGGGCCATGATTCCCGGTATTGTGTGATTTTCCTGTATGTTGTAAATCCTGCCTCTATGATGTTAATGAGGAAGGATGGGCGGCAGTTGTGTTAGTGAGGCAGGACTCAATCTGCAAGACTGGATTGTGTTTTGAGGCAATCTCTTGAGATATAAAAGACAGAGGCAAGTAGAGAGACATGGGGACCTCATACCACCAAGAAAGCAGTGCCAGGAGCAGAGCTCGTCCTTTGGACCCAGGGTTCCTGCATGGAGAAGCTCCTAGTCCGGGGGAAGACTGATGATGAGATGGTTGCTGACAGAGAGAGAAAGCCTTCCCCTGTAGCTGACGCCCTGAATGTGGACTTTTAGCCTACTTTACTGTGAGGAAAGAAACTTCTCTTTGTTAAAACCATTCTCTTGTGGTATTTCTGTTACAGCAGCACTAGATAACTAAGACAGAGATGTGTTTCTTGGAATTGCTGAAAAAGGTTCCATCCTACCGATGGATGTTGCTATTGTTGGCACTTTGGCGTACTGGCACACTTCACTGAATTTACAAAGGGCCTGTCATGGATTGAACTGTGTTCCCCAAAAATATCTGTCAACTTGGCTGGGTCATGATTCCCAGTATTGTATGATCGTCTACCATTTTGTAATCTGATGTGATTTCCTTATGTGTTGTAAATTCAATCACTATGATCTAATAAAATGGATTAGCAGCAGTTATACTGATGCGGTATACAAGATTGGATAGTGTCTCAAGCCAATCTCTTTTGAGATATAAAAGAGAGAAGTGAGCAGAGACACAGGGGAACCTCATGCTACCCAGAAAGCAGTGCCAGGAGCAGAGTGCGTCCTTTGGACCTGAGGTTCCTGTGCAGAGAAGCTCCCAGACCAAGGGAAGACTGATGCATCACAAGGACCTTTCTCCAGAGTCGACAGAAAGAAAAACCTTTTCCTGGAGCCGATGCCCTGAATTTGGACTTGTAGCCTACTAGACTGTGAGAGAATAAATTTCTCTTTGTTAAAGCGATCCACTTGTGTATTTCTGTTGTAGCAGCACTAAATGACTAAGACAGCGCCCAGCTAGTCTTTTCTAACTCTTCACCATTGTCTTCATCTTTTTTTTTTAACCAGCTCTTTAAGAAATTCATTTTAATGGTATATATATATGTAACAAAAACATTTGATACCTCAACAATCCTCACAGGTACAGTTCAGTGACATTAATTATGTTCATCATGTTGCTCATCCATCACCATTAACCATTCCCAAATTCAAGGTATTCTTTGATTGGTATTTCTCCTTATTCTCTGACAATCTCTCATATGACTTTTGTCTAGCCTGTGAAGACATCACCTCCCTGCAACGCATACATCCTGTGACTGTGTTCTGTTCCTCCATAAGCTTCTTTAGCTTAGGAGGACTCAGCTAGTCTGCTTACTCTTATTAGCTTCACTTTATGCCAAGAAAAACACATCTTAAAGTTTTCAAACCAGCCCTTGCTTGACAATAAGGCTAGTAGGATAGTCAGGCAGGTGCCTTTGCCATCTGTTGCTTCCTGAAACTGTTTGTGTATAGGCTCCTGCCTTTCTCCTGAGCCACCTTCTCAAACTTCTTGAAAGTTTTCTCTCTCAAATGATGGACAAATGTTCTGCTGGCTGGGGTACTGGCTGACATTTCACAGATAGGTTGTCTTATTTCTGTAGAGAGTGTATAGTGAGTATGTGTGCATGTGAAGCTACTCTGGAGTTGGATGTGACACTTTTTAATTGATTCAACAAGAACCATTCGCTTCTCAGGCTTCTCCACTTTCTTTTACCTCCATCACCAACCCTAGTGCTCTCTTTTTGGAGGCATTTTTTCACACATACATGCACACTCACCAATGTTCTACTACTTCATAAAAGTCACTGCCTAAGAAAGGACAAGTAGCAGTGAATAACACCTCAACAAGAGGCAGACACTGGGCAGCTGGCCAGCCTGACTTACTAAGTGACTCACTCCCACACGTCGACTTGTGAGGCTCAAATTCGTGCCTCGGCAGAGTGGTACATTTCTATATGCCACAGGCTTTCTTTCAGGACTGCTCAAGGACAGCTGAAAGTGTGAATGTTCAGTCTGCTGATGTCAAGGGTCAACTCCACCGCTAACACCACCGAGGAAGAAAGTGACACCAGAAGTGGCTGGCTGTGAAAGTCTGGGTATAGAATGTCCCAGGCACAGTCACCTGAGGCAGCAGCTGACAGGTGTGCAGGACTCCCTCAGTTTACAAGTGGGGAAACTGTGACCCAGAGTGAAAAACAGAATAAACGTCCTGGCCCCCAGGCCACCATTCTGTCACAGCAGAAAGCTCAAGAAAGGGCCCACATGAGGTCCACAGAGCATTGAAAACAGAGTCCATTTCTTTCTCTCTACCTGAATTGTTAATCCTTGCCCTTCCTCTTGCTGTTTCACCTGACTAAATCTTAGACTCCTCGGGGAGCCTCCCCAAGTGCCCCTGCGGCTTTAGCCTCTGTTCTTCCCCAGCGCCTTTGTTTCTACCTGTATGAGAGCGCTCACTCCCTGCCTTCGCTGGCTTTTGTGTATCATCGATCTGTATAAAGTCTATCTTCTCTCTTTAGATGTGAGCTCCCAAGGTCAAGGGCTTGGCTCAGTAGGCATTCGACAAAGGTTGAAAAGAACTGAGGTCGCTGATTGCCTCTGGAGAGCACGTGTTCATGCAGCAGGCTCAGCACTGACTTTCTTTTTGCTCACTTGAAGAGTCTGCTCCGGGGAAGAGGATGTTTAGGTGCTGAAAGCTCAAAATGTGCTCTGGAACACGAGTGGTGACATGTAGTTTCAGCACAGGAACAAAATCTCTTATCGTTAAGCACAAAACGTGTTTAAAAACAAAAGGGTTAAACAGGAAAAGAAAAGGTCTCTTGAGATTCTGGAATACCATGGAAGCTTACAAAGGAATGTACTGACCTGTGTATAGGGGTGTGTCTGTGTGAAAGAGAGAGAGAGAGACCAAGCATATCTTTAATTCCTATCTTGCAGCTCCTTGATGACAAGGTTACCAAATGCCAAAGTAAGATCACAGAACAGTAATCCTACCAAGAACACAGAGGCACAAAATCTATCTCAGCTTTCACTTCCC